ACAAACAAACAAACAAACAAACAAACGAAACACATAAAGACACAAACGCACACAGGCGCAAACACACACACACAAAACAAAACACACACACACACACGCACACACACACACACACTCACAACCACAAACACACACACACAAACGAACACATACACGCAAACCGACAAACACACCAGCACATGAACACACGAACACACCAACACGTCGACACGCTATACACAAGCACAACCACAACCACCCAAGCACGCAAACACACAAAAAAAACAACGACAAACAAAATACACGCACACACACAAACACAACAACACACACACAACAAAAAGAAAGAATAATAAACAAACACGCACACACACACACACACCAGCACACAAGCACACAAGGATAAAAACACACATACAGATCACAGACACACGCGCGCCACATCCACAACCGCAAAACCACAACAGCAACAACACACACACACACAGCGACCAACAGAACCAACATACACACACGCACGCCCACACCCGCTCACCCACACCCACCCACACCCACCCACACACACACACGCACACACGTGCACACGCAAGCACGCACGCCTGTGAGGAATCATCAAGGCAGCTGCACCTATTTATGGCTGGGACAGTCACTTATTAGTTTTCAGATCATCGGTATTGATGGTAAGGGCTAACCTGTCTCACGACGGTCTAAACCCAGCTCACGTTCCCTATTGGCGGGTGAACAATCCGACACTTTGGGACTTCTGCGTCTCAATGATAGGAAGAGCCGACATCGAAGAATCAAAAAGCAACGTCGCTATGAACGCTTGGCTGCCACAAGCCGGTTATCCCTGTGGTAACTTTTCTGACACCTCTAGCTGAATATTTCTCAGACCTAAAGGATGACAAGCAGCTCGCAAAACGGCAGGAGACCGACTCACGTGCCGTGTCTAAATAGCAATGAGGTCCGAATGAACCTTTTCAAAAATGGTTGGACCTAAAGCCAGTGATGTATTTCTGTCCAGCAAAGTGTCAAAATAGGCTAGGTCCTCCAGCAGAGAGGTTAGAACAAGGGTACCCTCTTTTTTGTAGTCTATTTTAGTAGGGGAACCCTCCCCAAAAAACGGGTGAAAGGGCACTAGGGGGGGCATGAAACAAAACCCCGAATGCTTTGCTTCCTTTTGGCGTCAAGTCACCGGGCTCTTTCATGGTGTCCTCTAGGAGCTGCACGGCGTCGTCCCTCAGCGGACCATCCGCCAGCTGCACGGCAGAATAAACCGCCGCCAGCAGCGCAGCTGGCACCTAAAAACAGAGCGCCTCAAAATACCTACAAAATCCAAGAGGCAAGTTGGCAGGTCTAGAAAAAACATATTCACTGGGGGCTTCATTTAGGTGGACTGGTGCAGGCTTTTTCCAACCAGTACGGGCCAGCACCTTCCAAGCGTGGTCCATTTGTACCTCGAGCGCCCTTCCGCGGGGAAATTTTTAGGTCCATTAAGCAAACCCTCTCCCAACCGTAGGCCCACCCAAAACCCGCACTAAATCAGCACTAAACTCGCCTAATTACCACCCTAAAACCAACTCTAAATTCCCACTTGGCAAGTTTACATCGGGATCCCTGTCCACCGGTTTGCAGGGTGTTCCCCATTTCAACCTCATCCGAGCAAGCCCAATGGCCCCCGGTACGCGCAGGGTGTTGACTGCGATCTGATCTGAGGATAGCTACAAAACTTTGATCTGAGACTCGCTGCGGACATGAACGAAAGATTGGGACCGCGTTTAAAGGAACACGTTGGGTTCGCTTCAACATGTTCCGATTGTGTTCTCTCACTGCGAAATCTGCGGTTCTAGATGCTCAAACAACCTGGGTTAATTAATGATGCTGCTCATACTGGACATTTAACCAGGGGCTGACATGGACAAAGAGACAAACATGGTTTGCCTTCCACCCCTCAAAAAGGGTGCGTTGTTTGGAAATGCAACTCTTCTCAAAAAGGAGCATGGGAAATGTCAAAGTAGGGTGACCCCAAAGGGTCCAATGGTAGCTGTCACTTTGGCTGCCCTCAAACCAACCTGAACAGCAGTCCCTCACAAAAAGACGCCCAACCAACGGATTTACCATGGAACACCCGACTTCTCAAAATCTACCCTTGAGTGGGTAGCAAGCCAATTGTTTGCGCACAATTTGGAAAGACCTGGCTTTCCATAGTACATCCTAGCTTTCCATAGTACACGCCTTTCCATTTTTTTGGTTCGGGGTGGACATCATGCGCTAAAACAAGCGGGTGTTGGGGATTGGATAGTTTTGGGGGTTTTCTGGATTGTTCCTTCCCGGCTTCCCTTCCCTTTAAACCAAGACACACAAAAAGGGTTTAACCAAAAGACTAAAGTGGGGACGGCCAAAACAAGTCCAAACTGTTGATTTACTCCTAAAACTCTTCAAAACCCGAACAAAAAGAACAAAAACACCAATAGTTCCAAAGTCCAAAAATGCTCTAATCCCCAACAAGACCCTCACAAGGTTCATGGAACCTGTCCAAAAGGTTGAGCCAATGATTTTCCAGAGCCTTTAGTCGCACGAAAGAGGAATGGTGGGGGGGGGGGGGATTCCGACCTGGAACTTGATTTTATTGCCAAACCAAAGGCCATCAAACCAAACCAAGCAAAAAGAAACACAACTTCTCAGGGAGTGAGACCGTCTTCGTTTTTTCGTCTTGTCCTTGGGTCGACCCGGGGGGACTGCAGCGCGCGACCCCGCCTTCTCCTGGAGCATCCACGCCACCGCCAGACGCAGCGCCAAAATCAGCGCCGCCAGGCCGTCCGCGCGCCGGAGCGCGGTCTCCAGGGAACGGCCAGGCTGCAGGCGGCCTGGCGACCCAACCATTTCCGACGACCCCACGCCTGGCGCCCGTTGAGGGGTGTTGGGGGGGCGGGTTGGGGGGGGTTGGGGGGTTTAGGGTACCCAACCCTTTGGGAGGACAGGGAACCAACGGGAAAAGGCAGAACCCCCACATTTTCCCCACCCAGTTTGTTAGAACCAACATTTTCCGGGTCCTTGATTTGAGCTACATCCCAAATCGGTGGTTGCGAACCCCGCACCGGGAGGGGGAAACTGGACATGGGCCCACAGGTGGCCCTGGTTGGAACCCCAAAACAGCTTGCCAAAGAGCGGTAAGGTACGATCCTTGGGGGGCGGGTTTCAAGGTACGATTTTCGGAGCCAGAACTGTTTAACAAGCATCTGTGCTTCCGCGCATGGACGAAGTCCGTTTCACACCAACCGAGAAACCCTGGAATTATGATTCCCCTCGAAATTCCAACAAACAAATGTTTTTTTCCAGCCAGTAGGGGCCTTTGGCCTAGCCTCAGGTGGCAAAGCTCGGCGTCCAACCATTTGCGGGCGACACCGATCCGCCTGCTTCCTGCCAGATCCGGGATCCGTTGCCCCAGTGAGACCCGGGGTCCATGACGTCGTACATCCCCAGAATGCCTTCCTTGTGCACCATCGAGGACCTCACCTACACCAAAAGTCGCAACTTGTCCGATTCGAATTCCTATGTCAACCTGAAAGTCTGAGAAGATTCCAGGTACTCTCCAAATACCCGACCTTTGTTTGGGGGGTATGTCTGCCCCTGACAAAGCAGGAGGTATTTGCTTTTGCCTGTTGTTGTCAATCCACCTGAAAAACAACGGGCATGTGGAGGGGAGCAGGGTGCCAAAACATGACTCATTGGGATACATACGCATCTGCGAGGGTTCCTTAAGTGCACTGAAAACTCCCAGGCTTGATTGAAGCAAAAGAAACAGCAACACCACACCATTCTAGCATGGAAAGTTCAACCAATCCTTCGTCACCAAAAATTGTGTCGCGCATTTTTTTCCAACTGCGGGTGCCTTCGTTCAGGCCAAAAAAAACTGGTGGTTTGCCTTATTTCAGGACCTAGAAAACCACGGAAAGGGTGGCCTCAAGAAAAGAAAGCCGGGCCACCCAAATAAACATCCCCATTCATCTCTATACGTCTGAGCCCCAGACCCTTAAGTCTGCGCCCGACCAGGCCATCGGCATGAAGGAGGCAAACTGCGGCATCCTCACGCTTCCCGCTTTGTGCGGGCCAATGTGCCAAGGCCGGCCCCAGTGTTGTGCTTTTAATAAGCCCTAGAAACAGTCAACATAATGACCACAGTCTCTGAGAACCCTTCCGACATGGGAAAACGAGAGTCTCCCCAGCACCCAGGTGACAACTGCTTTTTGGACAGTACTTGGGATTTGGAACATGGTCGAACTAGTAGTTGTTTGGGGGGGTGATGGCCTGGCATTCTGCGGCTGAAACAGAGAAAATCTAGAGAGGGAGAGAAAGAGAGAGAGAGAGAGCGAGACATCAAATCTGGGTTGTCCTCAGATCCTCTGCTAGAAGTCTTACTTGTGGCGTCAAACTTTCGGAACCCACCAGCGAAAGCCAGCTCAAAACCCTAAGAAACTGGATCTCGCTGACGTTTCCAGCGATATCTCCTGGACTTCGCCAGCAGCAGCCGCTCCCGGCCGCGAGTGGACGCGTTCCAAATCTCAAAGCCTCGGCCGACGGCCGAAGAGCGCTGAAGCCCTTCGTTGTCCGCAAGCCCCAAACAGCCCCGATCCGAGGCAAGACACATGGCATGGTGTTTTCGTCCCCCAAAAAAACTAGCTTTTGGCAAATTTAACGGAAAGCCTTTGCTAATCTGTTGCCACCCAAGCGCAGTCTGATTACCGTGTACTCTCTTTTTCTGTCCCTTTTTCTCTCATTGTCTCCTTCGCCAATTGAAAAGCTGCTAGGCTTGGAGGACTACCTTGCTGGCGGGTACCCCCGAAACGTCCACATTGTTGGAAAGAGGGTGACTTAAGCCCGAAGGAACTGTTCCATGTTGCCCCCCCCCCCAACCAAAAAAAGGCACCCGGAATTTTGCTGACCATCCTTTTCTCCTCATCCCCCAAACGCCCCTCCCCCCCCAACAAAACACACACACGCACACACACAAAAAAAATGAA